TCAATGTTAATTCCTTTTTTAGAACTGCTACAAATATTATATGAGTGAGAACATAAACTGCAATTCTGAAGGAATTGGTGAGCAGTGCAGGTAGGAATATAATATCTAGAAAATATAATGAAATAATTTTATTTAATGTATCAGTGGCTCTTAATCATGTCAAATGTCAGAGATTATAGTATATGTTCAAAATGAGGGGGACACAAGTATTAGATTTCTAACTACAGATTTTTTTAAACATTTATTTATTTAATTAGTTTTAGTTATCAACATTTTAAAAAAGATTTTCCTTTAAATTTTCTTCTCTCCTTTACCTTCTCCCTCCTCAAGATGGCATGCAGTGTGATATAGGCCATATGTGTACAATCATAGTAAACATATTTCTACATTAGTCATGTTATAAAGAAGAATTAGAACCAAAGGGGAAAACCACGAGAAAGGAAAAAAACGACAAAAAAGTGAAAAATAGTATACTTTGATCTGTATTCAGACTCCATAGTTCTTTCTCTGGTTGTGGATAGCATTTTCCATTATGAGACTTTTGGAATTGTTTTAGATCCTTAAATTACTGAGAAGAATTAAGTCTATCAAAGTTAGTCATCATATAGCGTGACTTACAGTGTACAATGTTATTCTGGTTCTGCTCACATATGTATGATTCTGTTCATATATGAATCTCTAGGTTTTCTGAAGTCCACCTGCTCATCATTTCTCATGGCACAATAGCATTCCATTACATTTATGCACCACGACTTGCTCAGCCATTCCCCAACAGATGGGTATCCCTTCCATTTCCAATTCTTGGCCACCACAAAAAAAGCTGCTATAAATATTTTTTATACATGCGGGTCCTTTTCCCATTTGTATGATCTCTTTGGGATACAGGCCTAGAAGGGGTATTGCCAGGTCAAAGGGTTTGCATGATTTTATAACCCTTTGGGCATAGTTCCACATTGCTTTCCAGAATGGTTGGCTCAGTTCACAACTCCACCAACAACGCATTAGTGTTCTAATTTTCCCACATCTCCAATATTTATCATTTTTTTCTGTTTTTTCGTGTTAGTCAATCTGATAGGTGTGAGGTGGTACTTCAGAGTCATTTTGATTTGCATTTCTCTCAAATCAGTAGTGATTTGGAGCACTTTTTCATGTATAGCTCATGAGGCCTTTCTCAGAGACACTGGGCGTCAAACTGCTTTCCCAGCTTTCTGCTTCCCTTCTAATCTAGGTTGTATTGGCTTGGTTTGTGCAAAACCTTTTTAATTTCATGTCAGCGAAGTCACCCATTTTGCATGATGTAATGAATGTCCTCTAACTCTTGTTCAGTCATGAAGTCTTCCCTTCTCCATAGATCTGATAGGTAAACTACTCCTTGCTCTCTTAGTTTGCTTATAGTATCAGTCTTTCTGTTTCAATCATGTGCCCATTCTGACGTGATCTTGGTCTAGGGTATAAGATGGTGGCCTGGGCCTAGTTTCTGTCGTACTATTTTTCCATTGTTCCAGGCAGTTTTTGGTACATCGTGATTTCTGATCCCAGAAGCTGGAGTCTTTGGATTGAACAAGTAGCAGATGACTATAGTCATGGACTGTTGTGTCTTGCATACCTAACTTTTCCCAGTGATCCGCCACCCTATTTCTTGGCTAGTACCAAGGAATTTGGAGGATTGCTGCTTTATGATACAATTGAAGATCTGGTACACTTAGGCCACCTTCCCTTGCACTTCTTTTCATTAGTTCACTTGATATTCTGAACCTTTTATTCTCCCAGGTGAATGTTGTGATTGTTTTTTTTTTGTTTTTTTTTTGTTTTCTTTTTCCCCAGCTCTATAAAATAATTTTTGGAGGGTTTGATTGGCATGGCACTGAATACATAAATGAATTTAGGCAGGGTTGTCCTTTTTATTGTATGAGTCGGGCCTACTCCTGTACAACTGATATTTTCCAATGATTTAGATCTGACTTTCTTCGTGCATAAAGTGTTTTGTGATTATGTTTATATAGTTCCTGAGCTTGTTTCAGTAGGTAACCTTCCCCATATTTTCTAATGTCTACAGTAACTTCAAATGGAATTTCTCTTTCTATGTCTTGCTGTTGGCCTCTGTTAGTAATATATAGCAATACTGATGATTTATATGGGTTTATTTTCTATCCTGCAACTTTGCTGAATTTGTTTATTATTTCAAGTAATTTTTTACTTGATTCTCTTATCATATCATCTGCAAAGAGTGATAGCTTTGTTTCTTCTTGGCCTAGTCTAATTCCTTTGGTTTCTTTTTCTTCTCTCATTGCTAAAGCGAACATTTCTAGTACAATATTGAATAACAGTGGTGATAATGGACACCCTTGTTCCACCCTGCCCCCATCTATTTTGGAAATGCTTCTAGCTTATCCCCATTATATATATACTTGGTGATGGTTTTTGATAGGTGTTACATACTATCATTTAAAGAAAGACTCCATTTATTCCTATGCTCTCTAGTGTTTTTAATAGCAATGGGTGTTGTATTTTGTCAAAATTTTTTTCTGTATTTATTGAGATAATCATATGATTTCTGTTAGTTTTGCTGTTGATATGGTCAGTTATGCTGATAGGTTTCCTAATATTGAACCAACCCTGCATTCCTGGCATAAATCCTACCTGGCCATAGTGTATTATCCTTGACAAAAATTGTTGTAATCTCTTTGCTAATATTTTATTTAAACTTTTTGCTTCTGTATTCATTAGGGAGATTAGTTTATAATTTTCTTTCTCTGTTTTGGGTCTTCCCAGTTTAGGTATCAGCACCATATTGTATCAAAAAGAATTTGGTAGGACTCCTTATTCACTAATTTCCCGAGACTATACTATATAGACTATTATCTTTATAGTATTGGAATTAATTGTTCTTTAAATGTTTGATAGAATTGCCTTGTAAATCCATCTGGCCCTGGAGATTTTTTTTTCCTAGTCAGAGATATAAGGAAAATGTTTGTTTCCATAAAATTGAAACAACCACTAGAAAAGTAACTAAGTAAAACTGGATGCAGCCAGTCTTATCTTGTTTGGCTGGTAGAAGTCAGTAAATAGGACAAAGGTTAAGCTTTACTTAGAGTGCACATTCAGTTTTGTCCAGAGGTCTATCATACCTAACTTTTCTAATGCTCTATTCACCTCCTTAACTTCTTTCTTGTTTATTTTGTGGTTAGATTTATCTCGTTCAGAGAGGGGGAGGTTGAGGTCCCCCCCAGTATCGTTTTGCTCTCTGTTTCTTCCTGTAGCTCCCTGAACTTCTCCTCTAAGAATCTGGATGCTATACCATTTGGTGCATATATGTTTAGTAATGATATTACTTCATTGTCTATGGTGCCTTTTAGCAGGATGTAGTTTCCTTCCTTATCCCTTTTGATAACATCTGTTTTTGCTTTTGCTTTGTCTGAGATCAGGATTGCTACCTCTGTTTTTTTTTTTTTACTTCAGCTGAAGCATAATATATTCAGCTCCAGCCTTTTTTTTTACCTTTCCCTGTATGTGTCACTCTTTTTCAAATGTGTTTCCTGGAGACAGCATATTGTAGGATTATGGTTTTTAATCCATTCTGCTATCCACTTTCATTTTACGGGGCAGTTCATCCCATTCACATTCACAGCTATGATTACTATCTATCTTTCTCTTCACCCTTTCCCCCCATTTATGCTTTTCTTTCTCCTTTCTCCTTTTTCCTCTTCCCTCCTCACTAGTGTTTTGCTTTTCACCACCATGTCCCTCAGTCCCATCTCCCTTCTATTAGCCCCCTCTCTTTTCTTCCCCTTTACTCTCCTTACTTCTTCCCTCCCTTCTATCCTCCCTCCCTTTTCTTTTCCTTTTCCCCTCCTACCTTTTACAGGGTAAATCTTGTCTGCCTCCTTGTTTCCTCTTCTCCCAGTACAATCCCTTTCCAACACTTAATTAGATTTTTTTACCTTCACATCAAAGTCAACTCATACTACACCCTCTGGGCTTTCACAGGTCAGTGAGGGAAGGTGAGAGTGACTTACTTCTTACTGCACAATCTTGGCTCCCAGAAGTGGACCAACTTACATTTATAATTTTAAAGAAAATATTTTCATTTATATCATTTTTTTAAATTAGTAGATTTTCATTCCTGCTTAATTTTAATTTTTTGAGTCTTTAAGTAGTTGTTTGACTAAGAATGATGCCTTAATTTTTTTGTGTTGTTTTGTTTTTTGTACATTTCAGATGGTGTGCAGAACGTGGAAACCTAATTTGTTGTGACTCTTGCGATAATGCTTTTTGCAAAAAATGCATTTCCCGCAATCTAGGGAAAAAAGAAATCTCAAAAATAATGGATGAAAACAATCAGTGGCAGTGCTATATTTGCCACCCAGAACCTTTGTTAGATTTGGTTGCAGTCTGTGACTGTGTATTTGAGGATATATCACTTTTGAGGCAACAGAATAAAAAGAAGCTAAAGTCTGCAAGTGAAAAGAGTGGTAAGACATGTAACCATCCACCTAAATTCTACTCCACCACAAAAGAAGAAGAAAAACCTCAGTTAGATGATTTTCACTCAGATGCTGTAACACATTCTTTTTCATCATTAATGGTTTCAAAAGACTTGATTACAAAGACTGAAACACTACTTGAGAACACTACAGTTATGAAGTCTAGTTTTGTGACATTTTCAGAACAAATAGCCAGCAATTCAGAAATGAGCTCAAATACTATGTTAAATCAATTGAAAGGTGTTAGATCTGTAAGGAATGACATAAGTAAGGCTCATAAGGCATTAGAAGAATGCTTGAACAAGGAGATAAGCAGCTTGGTTGTTAAAGAAAAGAAAGAAAATAGCAAAGAAGGAAAACATGAGAATGCTAAAAAAGATGCCAAAATTAAAAATGTAGATAAAAAATATGAAGTGGAAGATATATTTGCTACAAAAACAAAAAGGTTTCCAAATGACAAAACTGATGCAGAAATTATAGTTCCAACAGCAACAACTGGTGAGGTTAAGAATACAAATGAATTTCAATATGAACCTGCATGTACTTCTAAATCTTTAGATATGGACATTCTATCCATTCCTTCTTCAAGACCTGAAGATATTTTTGAGAATCAAGAAAGTTCTATCAATATCCAGAATGATGAAAATACTGAAATATATAAGGACACAGAAAATTCCCTTTTAGAAACAAATGAATCTTCAAAGTTGGCAAAGGAAGATCCATGGTAAAGACATTAACGAGGAAATTATATGTTAAGTTTTCTCCTTTTTCCATGTCAGATGCCTCATTGAAAGATATTATTAGTCAAGAAAACAGAAGAGGAATATCAACAGGAGAGCAGTATTCCAGGAAATACTGAAGTCATCCCTGATAATGACACTGCACTATTTAACGAGGAAACTGACCTTCAAAGATCACCGCTTGTGAAAACAACATCTTCAATTGGACACATAGAAAAGGAGCTTGTAACATCTAATTCAGAAGAAAGTGGTGAAAAACGTAAACCAAGATCATCAGGGCAGTGGGAAAAAGAAGGTAGACAAGTTTTTTTGCCTGATGCTGAAGAAAAATTCAAGTTAATTAATAAAGAAACCAGTTCAGATGCAGATGAAAAGTCAGCTTTGTGGAAGGAGGCTGCCAAGGAGGATAAGAGTTCTTCAGAGTCTGATACTGATTTAAAATACGACAGTATTCAGAAGAAAATTGTATACAAGGCAAAGCATCATGAGCTTAAAGATCATAAAGGGAAACGAAAAAGAGAAGATTCCACTTATAATTCAGATAATGATAACAAAAAAGGTGAAGTGTCTGAAAATCCCAAGAAACAGCAGGAAGAAAATGATATTTTATCTTCATCTGACATGTGGGATAGTGGTAAGTCTGAAATAAATATTGCAGAAAATACTGATGCATCAAATACTGAATATTTTCAGTTGTCAGGTATGTAAAAATGTTAAAATCCTTAGAGATATATTTCTTTCTTTTTTATGATAGTTTTAAACTATGTTATTAAAATAAGCAAACATCTTAGTGTGTAGGATTGTCTTGAAGTCTTTCTTTGTTTACAAAACATTTTCCTTTTATCAACTCTATGATCAAAAGAAATTATAAATTGTTTAGGGAAAGTATCGTTCTCATTTTGCATATGAGTAAATGGAGAGTTGGTACCTAAGTATGGAAATTTAGGGAGGAGAGCTAGCATAAAGACAACTGAATTTAGAATTGGAAGGTTGAAGTTTATGTCCCGGTGTACATTTGGCCCTGTCACTTAATAGAATTGAGGTAAATATTCTGAAAATCTCTGTCTCTGAAATCCAATTTTTCTAACCTCAAGTACTGGCTTTCCTTCTTTCTCTGATCCTCCAATTCTCTCTAGGAATTTTTAAAAGGTAGTAGGTTTCTTCTAGGCATGTCCCATTCTGGGCCTCAGTGTCTCCCTTTTGTGGTACGATGTGGTTGGCCTAAGTGAGTGGAAAAGATGATGGAGCCAGCTTTTGTAAGATTTTTCAATGTTAGGCTCAGTATAGCTATGTTTTTTCACACTTAACCCAGTTTGTTTCAGTTTCCTTATATGTAAAATAAGCTGGAGAAGGCAACAGCAAACCACTCCAATATCTTTGCCAAAATACCCTAAATGGGTCATGAAAATAACTGAACAACAAGAACAGATGCTAGATATATAGAGACCAGTTCAGGAGCTCTCAAAATAATCATGAATCTGACCTAGTGTATCAACATTGAGAACATTATAAAGTATAAAGGAAGAATGAATGGACTTGATGTTTAATTGAATATAAGAGACTGAGAAATGGAATTGTAAAATCAGAAGTTTTAATCTACAGTGGTGAACAAATAATGCTATCTATAATCAAGAAATCCTAATAGCTAATTTTGTACAGATTTGGTACAGGTGATTTCAAGTTTCTGTACATGTTGAAATTTAAGGTGATTCTTTGATATTTAACTGGCAATAATTAATTGGAAATCAGTGGCCAAACATTAGAAAGGAGTTGCCATCCATACACCCAATCAATCATCTCTACTCGTGTGTGTGTGTGTGACATGTGTTACATATGTGAATTTGCATACAGACATAATTTTATGTTTGTAATATGGATAACACATCTTATTAAAATGAAATTAAAATTTAAAAAGTAAATTTCACATAAATTTGTACTGCTATGTTGTTAAGATTAAATGCCTGTTGTACCTTCAAGAATATAAAGTAGCCTCTGGGTTTTGATCACATTTGTATTTTCCTCAAAAAGTCTCCAGACAAACAAGAACATATCCCCACTTACTTAAAGCAAAATAACATTTATTTTCTCTGTAAGTGTTGCCTTAAAGCTTTCATAAACTAAATTCAACACATATACTTTAATTTCTTATTAAAAAGAATGAAATATACTTTTTTTTTAAATTCAAGGAGATGAAACGAACACTACATCTGTTCCTGTTTTAATGGAAGAAGATGATGATGATCCTGAGAATTGGTATGGTTTCATCCCTGAAGTTTTAATTAATTGTAATAACTATTGTTATGGCATGTGAAAAACCAAAAACACCAAAAAGTTTGTTAAAAGAAAAACTTTCTGCATTAACGAGACTAAAGTTTATTAGAGATTTATACAACCAAAAATTATGAATGAGAATTTACAGCATATTCATTATTTATATTCAGAGGCACAACAAGTTGCATTTCTTTTTAATTTTGTATATTAGATGTAACATCAGTAATGAGGGCTTTAATCTTCTGTAGCTTTTACTGAGTTATAAAGATGCATAGAAATAGTTTTATAATTAAGGCAATTGTCTTTTGCTTAATCACATTTAATAAGAATTAGTATCTATCTATCTATAAATATATGTACATATATTTAAAAACTAGATATTATGACACCGAATTAGATTAAATTTGCCAATTTTTGATCCTTTCGAAAATGTTTTAGGGCTTTACAATACTCAGTGTCATGGCTTTTTATATTATCATAGATCTACAAATAACAGTGATTTTCTTTAATAGAAATGGTTTTACTCAATGCACATTTTGTTGTTCATATTTTAAGTCTCTTACTCAGGAACCACAAATCAAAAGTAGATCCATTGGCATTTTGAAATAATAATTTTCTCTTTAAAATTCAAATATACGAGTGGCCATAATACCTCATTTTACAGAAAGATTATTGAAATCGTTTATATAGGTTAAGTCAAGCCAAGTCACTCAGTCAACAAGCATTTTATTAAGCATTTACTATGTGCCAGCCAGGAAAAAAATTCCCTGCTCTCTGGGAGCTCACATCCTAATGGAGGAGAAAGCATGTAAATACCTATACACACAAGATATACATAATAGAAATAGAGATAGAAAGTAATCTTATAAGTAATATCAGAGTAAGTTATTAAAAGATTTCATTCAGTAAGAGGTTTTCCTTACCTCTTCATCTCTGCCTCTTGGCTTCCCTAGATTCCTCCAAGTTTCAGCTAAAGTCTCATTTTCTGCAAGAACCCTTTGGTTGGTCCTAATCTTAGCGTCACTCCTCTGAGACTATTTTTAGTTTATGCCATATTTAGCTTTTTTGTACATAGTTGATTGAATGTGGTCTCCTTTATTAGACTGTGCATTCCTTGAGAGTAGGGAATTCTTTTTTCTGGTTGTTTTACATTCAGGTACAAAGCATTAGGTTAAGAAATACTTCTTGACACAATATATTTTTGTGCTTATTTTACTTCACAACATTTGGAAGTTCTTGCTATTTAAGTCAAATATAAATGTAGTCATAAGACGACTGTTTTAATAATTATTTTATTGTCTATTTTTCTTGCTTAACTTTTCTTGGGTTATTTTGGATTCATAATTACATAGTGTTATTTATTTGAGAATTAGTTTGTTCTTAACTAGAGAAAATATCTTATCTTAAAGGATTACCAAGAAGACTCTCTTAGAAGAAATAAAAGCCAATTTTTCCTCAGATGAAAGTGAAGAATCAGATGATACTAAAAACATTACTGAAAAGAAAGATGAAACAAATACAAGAAGTGAGGGTGAGAAGCATCAGAAAGATATACATGAATATGTTTGTTTCTTAGCTTTATTAGCTCATTGTGCTCCTGAAAATTGTAAAATTAATAGCTTTTTCAAACAGATGCCATTTACAGAATTGTTGGGAACCATTATAGCATTTAAATATGTCCAATGACATAATCTAGTTGTTGACAACATGAAAAAGATGAAAAAAACCCTTTTTTTAATGTGGCATTTTAGCTCAAGAAGCCAAGTATTATAAATGTTTTGTTAAAAAAGATTTGTAGTTGTGAGGTGAAGTTTGGATAGATCTTAAGTACTCAATACTCAGATGAATCTGTGATCTGATTTATTCAAAAGCTGCTTCCAGGGATGTTAGATCACAACCCATTTGTGTGTCCACATAAATTCCTTTTTTTTTTTTAAATTTCATTCTTAGGGATTTGTGAAAAAAGCAATTTGAAATCTGATTCAGACTCTGAGGAAATTAAGAAGCTGAAATACAGATCCCCACTGGTTACATACAATCTAAATATAAGTGGTGGAGAATCTGCAGAAGAAACAAAAGAAAGCAAACACAGAAAGAAGAGGAAAGGTAAAAGTGAAATTCCTTAAATTGGTACAGTGGAAAGATGCCTGCTTTCATCAGTTAAATCAACACATATTTGTAAAGTGCTTTCTATTCATCCAGGGCTGTGCAAGGTACTGGTAATATAAATTAAAAACAAAGCAGTCTGTACCAGTAAGAAGCTTATATTATATCAGGGGAAGATAACAGACATATCAATAGATACACAGACAGGCAGATGTGTGTGTACTAAGTAAATATAACAGAAATTTGGAGGTGATAGATATTAATACCTCCAGGGATCACAAAAGCCTCATGTAGAGACATTTAGATGGTTTATTTAATAAAAAACTGGGCCTGTAGTCAGGATAACAATGACATCCTAGGATTATTATGAGGATAAAATGAGATAATATTTATAGAGAGCTTTATAAATCTTTAAGTCCTTTCAAAAAAAGCTGCTCTTTGTCCTCCTCGTCTTTTTTTTATTAGTAGTAATTTTGGGGTGAGTAGAGGAATTAACACTTGAGAGGATCAAGGAAGGCCTCATGTAGGAGATAAAAGTAATCCAGGTGAGAAATAATGAGGTTTCTGAATACGAATTGAAGTTGTATTATGAGGAGAGGGACCTAGATGTATGAGGTAATGTGGAAATAAAAGTGACAAGATTTGGCATCTGATTACATTTGTGAATACATGTATGAGGTTGTGAGAGTGAGTCACTGGAAGAAAGGTTAACCGAAAGAAGAATAAGAGATAAAAATATTGCCATATATATAGCAAGAGATGTTAGTTTATGGGGAAAATAGTTTTATTTTGAATGTATTGAATAAGAAATGGCTGTGAAACATCTCATTTGAAACATCAAATGGTGATGTGGGACTTGATCTCATTAGAGTTCTAGGGCTGTTTGTATAGATCTGGAAACCATTTGCATATATACTGATTAAACCAATGGCAGTGGGTGGTATCTATGAGTCATATACTAGAAGAGAAAAGGGTCAGGAGAGAACATCGGTGTATAACTGAGGTTCAGAGAAATGATATTAGATAATAATGTAACAACGAGAATAATTAGAAAATTAGGAGGGTGATGGGGTCACAGAGACATATTGTTTGGAAAGATCTTAAAGACCACTAAGTCCAACACCCTCCTTGCACAGAAGAGGAAATCAAGGCACAGCAAAGTTAAGGGAATTTCCCAGGGTTACAGTAAAATTGTCTGATTAAAGCAAAAAGAGTACAGTGTCATGAAAACTTAGAGAAGAGAAAGCATCCAGAAAGTTAAGAAAAAGGATCAAATATGACAGTTTAAGAAGCCATTGGTTATGTGGAGAATGACATAGTCCTTGAGGGAAGAATAAAAGGTTTTTCCATTTAGTGAGAGTCCAATTAAGATTAAATAAATTTTTTAGTGAACCTTCTCTCCCATATCTATATGTATATGCATATACATATATGTATATATGTATATGTATATGTGTGTATATGTGTATGTATACGTATGTGTGCATGTGTGTATACGAGTGTGTACATACGTGTGTGTGTGTGTGTGTGTATATGATTTTCACCAGCACTGTTTAGTAGCATATGAGTAGTAGATGTGGTTTATAAATTGGTGTTTAGCAAAGTGTCAGTGGCAATAGCACAGAGACGAGGGATCCAAAAGGGTTGCATTTGCACCTAGCACAGTGCCTGGCACATAGTAGGCACTTAATAAATCCTTGTTGATTGATTATTGGAGAAGTAGAAGACAGTTTAAAGCTGAACTGGTTAAATACAGAGTTAGATTGGGAAATGAGGAAAGTCAAGCCATAGTAGAGGTGATGAATTTCAGCATGTTATAGTGAAGACAAATAAGGCAAGAAAATGTGAAGAAAGAATAACATAGAAATTAAAAATGTCAGAATATTCGTGCAAGTGGTGACAGCATAGAAAATCCAAGGAAAGTTAGGAAGAGTTAGGGTGGGGGAAGGTTGGGAATGAAAATACTGAGATTAGTTTTGGACATGTTGAGCTTAAGATGTCTATGCGAATCCAGTTAGAAATGTCCTTTAAGCAGTGGAAGATGTGAGTTTGGGGATTAGGAGAAAAGTTAGAACTGGATAAGTAGATATAGAGGTTATAACTGAATGCTTGGGAGCTGATGAGATTACCATGTGAAGTAGTGTAAAGAGTAAAGAAGAGAACAGAAACAAAGGTATGAGCTAGCATTTGTTGACATGATCTATGTTTGTGGGGAAATAAGTACCCTTGAGATGGAGTGACTAGTCAGGCAGGTAGGAGGAGATCCAGGGAACCTACAGAGAAGGAAGAGAGGATGATGGACAGTGCTAAAGATTGTATTGAGATCAAGAAGAATGAAGTCTGAGAAAAAAAAAACAATATTGGATTTGACTATTAAGTAACTTGGCAGAGAACACTTTTCAGTGTAGAATCTACTCTAAAGAACCTAAGAGGGAAAAAAAAAGTGTAGGCAGCCTTGTAAAGGACCAGACAAAAGAAAGAGATATATTGGATGAAAAATAGCAGGGATGAAAGGAGTGCTTTTTGAGAATTGTGGAGACAAAGATAGGCAGTAAAAAAGCATACCAGTAGACAAGGAGAGACTGAGGATGGGATAATAGAAATAGCAACATGCTTAAGAAGCTGAAATGGAATAAGCTTGGTGTTGGTGGCTTTGGAAAGAAGGACCATCCATTGATGTGAGACCGGTTGAAGAAGGAGATAATTGTCATCTGAGTGATATGACATGAGGATTGAAGCACATTTTTTTTTCAGTGAAATATGAGGCAAGATTCTCAGCTGAGTATGAGGTTTGTGGAAGGAGAAATGAAAAGGTTTAGAAAAGATGAGTAGGTTAGTGAAGAGGGATGACCTTGCTGCACTAAGGGCCCATTTGAGATTGTGTAACGTAAATTTGTAGTGTGATTTTGTCATTTCCTTTGTCTTTGTTCAGTTACATCTGAGTAGGAGAGTATCAGATGGTGGAAATAATCCAAGGCTAACGTCTGGTAGGACAAGATCAGTAAAAGAATAAGGAGGGAAGGCCCTCTAGAGAAGACAGTATAGCATTTGGCAGACTGGTTAGCCAAAGGGTCAGAATGGGGAAGAGAAGAGAGTGTAGCCATTGTAAGGGTTGGTTGCTTGATGTCCTTCTTTCTTGAAGAGGACCAAGATGACATCACTATGTTAGAGTCAAGTTACTCAGACCAATATGAGGTCTATCATAGATTGTAATGCTGTGGAAAGAGCTGATGAGTGGAGAGATTAGATATCAAGGTGAGGGTTCTTTGATTGTTTCTTCATTTCTTTAGTTGGCTGTCCTTAACTGTTTTTCCATTGCACCCAGATGTTTGCTTTGCAGCCACTAGATGATGGGTCACAGCTTTTTCTCCTTGGAATGAAGTTGTCCATAAAGTATAGTACTCTCTCACTAGCTACAGATTTGCCCATGTCTTGTTACAGATCTCTCTCCCTTCACTCACAAAGTGTCCCTTCAGTTGGACCACCTCCCAGAATTGAGATTTATCCTTTGCTTTTCACGTTTCTCACCTATGACTTCTCTTGCTGCTGAGACATTATTGTTAGAGAAGATATACCTTGGAGGAGATGTCTCTTGGCTAGGTATGACACAGAAAGAAATTTTTTTTGTTTTTTTGTTTTCTCTTAAAAATCAGACTGAACCCCAAATCACTGGTCCCAAATTAAGCCCTACTTCATCACTATTTGGGCCTGATTGGCTCAAAATGAATGTAAATAACAATTATTTCAATTTTGGTCAAAAACCGTGAGGGTGTTCCCCTCCCAGATCTATTTATTTTTATTTTTTTCTATTTTATTAATTTACTTTGATTTATCAACAATCACTTCAACATGCTTTTGAGTTTAAAATTTTTCTCCCCCTTCCTCCCCACCATCCTCCCTATGACAGCACACAATCTGATATATGCTATACATTTACATTCCTATTAAACGTATTTTCACATTAGTGAAGTTGTAAGTACAAATTCTCACTAGTGTTTTGCTTTTGACCACTGCCTCCCTCAGTCCCTCCCTCCCTTTCTGTTTCTTCCCCTTTAGCCTTACTGCTTTTTCTCTCCCTTCTATTTCCCCCTCCCATTTCTTTCCCCTTTTCCCTCCTACTGCCTATAGGGCAAGTTAGATTTCTATACCTAACTGATTAAGTTATTACCTTCTTGAGCCAAATCTGAAGAGAGTAAGGTTCAAACAATGCTCACCCCCTCCCTTATTTCCCTCTGCTGTAATAGGATTTTCTGTCTTTTTCTGTAATGTAATTTACCCTTGTCTGCCTCCTTCTTTCACAGTTCATTTTCTAAGATCAGACTAATCCACTTACTTGGATCCATTTAACCCACTTGATTAGATTTTTTTTTATCATAACATCAAAGTTAACAAATATCCACCCCGTTTATGTATACTCCTTTAACATGGTGTAATAACAATACAGTTCTGAAGAGATGCAAGTGTCATCTTCCCTTGCAGGAATGTAAACAGTCCATACTTATTAACAACATATTGTATCTTTCTGTCCCATTTATCTTTTCATGTCTGTCTTGAGTCTTGTACTTGAAGATCAAATTTTTTGTTGATCTCTGGTCTTTTTATCAGGAAGGCTTGGAAGTCCCCTATTTCATTGAATATCCATATCCTCCCTTGAAAAATCATGCTCATTTTTGCAGGGTAGCTGATCCTTGGCTGTAATCCAAGCTGCTTTGCCTTATTGAATATCATGTTCCACGCCCTGCGGTCTTTTAATGTAGAAGGGGTGAGGTCCTGTGTAATCCTGACTGTGGTTCCATGATATTTAAATTGTTTCTTTCTGGCTGCTTGCAGCACCTTCTCTTTCATATGGTAATTTTGGAATTTTGCTATTATATTCTTTGGCGTTGTCAATTTGGGATCTCTTTGAGGTGATGTATTCTTTCTGTGGTTATTTTCCCTTCTGGTTCTAGGACTTCAGGGCAGTTTTCCTTTATGATTTCCTGAAAGGTACTGTCCAGGCT